CTTCTGAATCTTCTGAATATACCACTGAAGAAGACAATATTTCAGGTAGTAGTAGTAATAGAAATGAATCGGATGATAGAGAATCAGGTGATGATGAAGATTATGAAATATTTGAGAATTATGCACCACCTGATTATAAGCTATTTCAGGACTCACCAGATCTAGGATCAACAATTGATAACTGAATTTTATGGATTTTGCTTTGGATTATGACATTTCGAACAAGATTCAATATAACGGAGATAGCAACTGAGACTTTGATAAAATTTATGAAATTAGTCATGACAGAAATCAGTAAAGATAATTTTAGAAACTTTTCAGATTTGATGTACTTAACAAGAAAAGAACTTAAAAGATCATTTTCATAGCTTCGTTTCTTGTCTGAAATGTCATAAGCTGTATAAAAAACAGGAAGTGATAAATTTTAGACAAGAAGATTCATATGCTATAATGAAGTGCTGATATGTAAAATTTCCTAATTCATCACTCTATAAATCATGACTTTGCAATACAATTATATATTGAACCATTAGTATTTCAGCAAATCGAGTAGTAATGCTACCTAATTTAATATTTCCATTTTCTAAAATCTGATAACAACTCGCTTTAATGTATCATCAGCCTTGTTTTAAAAGTTATTTGAGACAATAGGCAAATTGTCAGCATTATAATAATATTAGGACTGATATATATGATAGTTAAGTATGTTAGAGATAAAGTGGCTGATTCTCACCTTAGATTAATATTGAACTTGAATTGGTTCCAGCCTTATGAAGGCACTATATATAGTATTACTGTTATTTATATTGCTATATGCAATTTGCTGCGTGTTATCTGACTCTTGGCCTCTTACCTGGACCAAGTGAAGTAAGTTTGCATAAAATAAATCATTATTTAGCACCGATTGCTGATGAATTGAAATCTCTTTAGAATGGAATAACTATAGATAAAACATACGAATTTCAAGAAAAAAGGAACATTTGTGCAGCTTTAATTCTTATTTCATATGATATACCAGCTGCTAGAAATATATGTGGTTATGTTTCAGCCTTAGTATCATGTCATAGGTGTTAGAAGAAAGCAAATTATGAAAATCAGCAGCATACTTTTGCCAGTATGAATGATTTTAATGATTGGTTCTTCATGCGAGATCTAACTGAACATAATCAGAATGTATTAGAATAGAGATATTGCAATTCTGATGCTTCACGAAAGTGATTTGTAAAACAAACTGGTGTAAGATGGTTTGAATTATTGCGATTACTATATTTTGATCCTATTAGATTTATCACAATATACCCAATGCATTGCTTATTTTTAGGAATTGCATGATGAATAGTAAAATGAACTTGGATTGATAGGGGAATTTAACAACAAATGCCCTGAAAAATTTAGAAAAAAATGAATGAGTTTCAGATTCCATCTGACTTGGGTTAAATTCTGAGTAAAATTCATGAAGGAGAAGGATTTTCTAATTTCACAGCCGATCAATGATGAATATTTTTTACTGTTTATACCACTATATCACTTTGGAAACATCTTCTGGCTGTAAATAAAAAGATTCTTACACATTATGTGAGAATCTGATTAATTTTAGTTAGCTGAATTATAGAATCAGATCTTGTTTAGAAGCTTATGCTTATCAAAGATTAATTGAAATAGTAAAGCTGATAGAAGTTAATCATGATCATAATAAAATTATGCTGAACATTCATTTATCTCTTAATTTATACGATTGCTTATTTGATTATGGGCTATTATATGCATTCTGGTGTTTTTCTTTTGAATGTATGAATGGAATATTAGGTAATTCATGATTATGAAAATTTTCCGATTGAATATATTTATTAATTTTTAAATTTATAATTCTTAGGCTCTTTACCAAATAGCTATAGAAAAATCAAACCTGAACTTATGCATCGATTGATGTTTGATGGTCAAATTGATAATATCATAAATTTCAGTGTTAAGATAAAAGGGCTTGAATTTTTGGACAATCAGCCTGCTATTAGCTATCTTTTAGTTACTGACCAATTTTCATCAGATAAAATATACTGATTTTGGATGAAATATTAAAGAATTGTATATTTTTGGTAGTGAAAATTTTTCAGGAAAATTTCTTAAGCCATTATCTGATAATATAATTATTTTAAATAAAATGCTGGATTTAATTATTCAAATTTCAAAAACTATTTAGCGATGATTCAGAAAATGCTTTAATAATTCAGTTCAAAATGAATCAGTTTGAAAGATGTTGAATCAGTTCTGAAATCTTCAGTTCAACAATATCCTTATGACATGAGAAAAATTTATACATTTTGGCCAAATTTATTACGAATGATGATGTTATTGATTGTTATCCAGGTCAAGTTCAATATTATTTTACTCATAAGGTCGATTTACTGTATGGACTGACTGAACATTTTCTAGCATATATTTGCTAGTATCAACCTGCAGGTTTTCTAAATGTTCAATATCATTTTAACGTTGAAGAAACATGTAATGTTGAACTATGGGATACTGATTTTTACCCTGAAAGTCATGATTACATAATACCAGTACATCATATTTTA